CATGGTTTGGTCTTTGGTAATCTGTCAAAATGACAATCCAGGATAGGAAATGGCAAGAAGACAGAAAGTACAGTCACGCTTCGTCAGGGAGATGCAACAAGAGCTGCGTGAAAGAATCATACAGATCACCTACCCACAGCAGTATAACTCGATCTAGTTACTGCTGCTCATTCCTCAGAGTGCTGTGGCGCAGAGCCTGCCCAGCACCGCGCGTTCAGGACTGCTGCATCACCCAGGAAACCCCTAGCTAAAGTCATCAGTAGGAAAGGTCACTGGCAAATTATCTCACACCTTAGCAGTGTTGCCTAAACGCACAGAATACAATTTACACTTTATTGAGTGAAATTAGATCAGCATAAATTAATTTGAGTCTCCTACAGAGATCCATTCACAAGGGAGACTGTGTATCAGCTACTTATGAAGCTGAAAATATGTCAAGTTCATCATCCTCACTTGCAGATGTGCCCATGGCTGTTGTCCTGGAGTGGAGAAACACTAGGACACAGGGAGATGAAAGTAGAAGGGAAAGCCCCAAAGGGCACACAGACCCTTTTGGGCTACTTTAACTTTCCTCAGTCAGTACATGGGATGAGCAAGAGACCAGAAAAAATCAGAAATCAATTGAGTCAGAAAAACGCTCTGCAAAGCTCCCAGCAACTCTCCCCAAGGAAGTGAGGAGGCAATGGGAGAGAGGAAAAGGGCAGAGCAGTGGCCGTTAAAGCAAATAGCGCGTGCATTCAAGAGAGTGCCAGGAAAAGGAAAATGACAAAAGGGTTCTGCCCTTTTGAGGCATTCCAGCCTGCCCCCACTCACCGTCAACGCCAGCATGACCTCTCTGTAATTTTTGTTTCCATTCAGCCTCTTCTTCAGTGCTCGAATGGCATCCTTTGGACTGAAGGAGAAACACACCATTTTTAAAAGACAGCTCACACACGCTTTTCACATGCCATATACTGTGGGAACAGGAATCCTTTACTATTTCCAGCTGGACATAAGCATGTGTGTTCACTTCACATTACTTGACTACAACCAAACTACGGTCATGTAGAATTATGCGAGGAGACAAGATATCACAGAAGTCAAGACCAGAGCAAAGCCCAAGGCCTCCAAAAAGGCAGGATGTTGATCAAGCAGGAAAGACTGACCACTCAGAAAAAGGCCCAGGGTGTAAGACCAGTGATCAGTTCTCCTTCAAACTGCAAGCAGCACAGCTTTTCTGATGCTGAAGGAGATGTATCAGAGAAGCGCTCTATTCAAATGGCTGAAATGAATAGCATTGCAGTACTGCAGAGAGAGACACCTGCTGAAAACAAGAACCCCAGAAGTACAAACTCAGTACCCTCTCCTGCGAGACATTTTTCATGCCAGCCCTCCCAAGCAGAGACCGACTGCAGAAAGTGCTGCGCAACACAGTAGTTTGCTGAAATGTCTAAGGAGGAGGAAAACCAAGCAACTCATATGCAAACTACATTCAAACTATGAGCATCTGTCCCCAGACTCACTGCACCTCCTCACAGTCTGAGTGCGACTGGATGAAGATTGTGTTCATGAACCTTTCAAAGTTTGCTGAAACAGCACATACCCTTCTTCTGTCTCGTTGATAATGTCACAGATCTCCATGTTAAGTGTCCAGTCTTCGCTCTGCAGAGAGCCATCTGTGGCCTTTTCTGTGAAGTAAAGAAAAATAAATCTTTTTGCATCTTCCTGATTAGGTATTATACTTCAATCCATCTTCAGTTACTGTGAGCTGAAACTATCCAGTAAAAGAAAGAAAGAAAGAAAAAAAATGAAGGTCCCCACTGTAAACAATGTCAAACCTTCCCTCCTGGTTTTAGGCATCAGCAAGGAGGTTTCCAGACAGAATCAATTATCTCTCAAGCTCACTACCTTCAACCCACATAGATGGGCTGTTCTTCAAAGACTCCTGAATTCATGGAAGAGTAGGAAAATGTCAGCTAATTCCAATTTAAACTTCTCAGATGCTGCATTACTGGCAAGTTATGAGGTAGGAAAATCTCCCCAAAATCAATATGACCTCCTCCCTGTTTTAGTAGATATCTCCACATGAATTGAGGGAGGAAAGATAGCAACTTGGAGACAGAATTCAAGGAAGTCCAGAATTTCATCATGGAAGGAACCACCAGCACATTAAAACATTTCGTACATGACAATTCAGGTCACAATATCATTCGCACCCCTTTTTGCCTGGGACTCTTTTAATCTTGTACCACAGCCCCTCAATATCTGCTTGCCAGGGGGCTGGGCACGGCTTCTCTCTGTCCCATGCTGTGTCTCCAATCTCCTGTCCACGCTGGGGCTACGTACGCATCTCCCAAGCACAATCTGCCTTCCTCCTGACTCCCAAATGCTCTCTGACTCTCAAATGCGTGGCAGGTAAGTCAGTCACTCCGGCATCAGACTAAATTCTATGGGAAGGGTGACCTATAGCACTGTGACAGTGGCAGATGCCAACTGTTGGCAGTTTAATTTATAGACATCTGCAAGAGTAGCACAACCATAACTTCAAGTAATCAGTTGACAAGAACTATTTCCTCCTGGGGATTTCCTCCTAAATCAGTATAGTTCTGTCTAGTGGTGCCTAGAACATCCCCTGAATTTTTCACACTTCTCACTTGCAGCATTCAAACCCTATCTGCGTTACGCTACCCACATTCAGAGATGCTATCGAGTTGAACGTAAAGCCTGTCGCCAGAGACACCTAAAAAGGGGACCTTCAAGCCAAAGAAGACCTTCTCTGCTAAATTAGGCTGGGTTTTTCTCAGGTCCCTGGCATCCAGTGTTGGAAGGTAAATAGGGTAAACAAATGCATTTTAAAAATGTACAATAAACCAAGAAAAAAAACCTTCTAAACATTTTAAAGCAGAAACAAAACCACAGGTACCATCTTCTCCAACTATCCTTTACGTCAGACCCCAATCTGTCCCCCAGAACAAGGCAGATTTTGTTTGAGAACACCAGGCTCCAAGGACTTCACTCATCTCTTTTTCTGTTTACCAATGATGTTTTTCCCATTAACATTTCTATCACTGTGACTGAGGATATAGATGTCCACAGGCCATAATTATGGGACATTATTTGGAGAAGAACTATGTGTCTGGGTAATTCAAGTTTCAATGACTTGTCTACACCAGAATCGTGGTTAAAGCAGCTCCACCAAGGACAGTCAGTGTCTGAGTCAAACCGGACAGCTATGCAAAATCCAAGCAGAGAGTGCTGAAAAGAAGCCACCTGTCTCCAGAATGGAGAGGACCCCATGGAAAAGGACATTATGGAAGAGGAGACCATTCTTTGCAGGCCTCTCTTCCTACTCAGAGAGGCAGCGCTGCAAGGCACGGAGATCACTGCACAGGCTCGCACCCACCGGGGAGGAAACGGAGCCTGCAAAACTCCCGGCTGTGCCATCTTCACCTCTGGGTCTTCTTCAGCCATCACCAGCTCACGGTAGAGTTCACTTTGGCCGCAAAGACTCTTTCTGTTCGAGGAGGAGCCTCAGAGAGATGCACGGCTTCCAAAATGTCCAATAAATACTGGACAGGTTATTGAGTATTTTTAATTTACTGCATTTAGGCTATGGTGAGGCAGGGACTCTCTTAAGGAAGAGTGCAGGCAGAGCTGTTTAATGTTTTCTGGATACAGGAATTCATCTTTGTGCAAAGCTACTTGTAACAATCATTTTTTTTAGTTGCATTTTGTTCTTATACCGTACATAAGGCTTTATTGCTATAGAATGTGATCTGCCTTCACCTCCATATAGTCCTTGCTGCTTAGGAAAACATTTTATTTAACATTAGAGCAAAACCCTTAATATTCTGAGAGAGAAAAAAATCACTGCATCGGCTCTGCTGGAGAAGGTGATCTCCAAAGCTGCAAAGGATGTATAAGCACAGTGCTGCAAAATGAGAGATTACACCCTAAATAGAGGGTATTCCTTAATCGAAGCATGTGATTTGTTTTCTTAATCTAAAACTATATTAACAAATGTGTGTGTTCTTGTCAACATTTGGCATCAGGCAGCAACTTCACAATATTCGTACTCTCTGGTTCCGCTACCACTTTTTACAAATGCTTGTGGAAAATGCTGATCCTGCGCAAAGTTGTGCTAGCAGCCAATTCATTCATTGGTCTTGTAAAACCCATTTAGTTAAGGTTTCTTTTGACAAAATGTGTATCTGGCACTACTCCACAGCTAAAAACTGTGATATTTTGGAGACGATAGAGTGAAGAGATGCTGCCGCAGCACTGTACGGAGGGTGGCATAGGAACACTCGTCTGGGGTCCCCAATAACCTCATTTGTATTTCCCTTCTGAGACACACCAGGGCAAGCAAAATCCCCTTTCTCCCAGAAAGTTTGGTTACCGCCCTTTTATTTTTGCATTTCTGTTCTTTAGTTGGAGTAATACGTGGTTGAGACTGTGTGGGTTTAAGACCTAACAGTTGTCTTTCTGAGAATTAGTTCTTTTCCCCATGGGTAATTTTTAATTCGAATAAGAGTCAGAAGCTAATTTTAGTCTCTTCTTTAGCGACAGAGAGCCCACAAGCTCGTCATCTGTAGTCGTTTGTCCTTTGTAGGGTGCGTGACCCAGATTTGCCGCTGCAGTGCTCTCTCAACTGTTACAAAGGAGTTAACTGACTGCAGAGAAGGCATACGGGTTTGTGTGTGATTTGTTTGAAGAACAGTATTACGCTGCAATGAATTGAAAGCCTGCAGAGCTCTTCCAGAACGAAAACGCAGCAGGTTGTGGTTCTGGATTTCTGGTGAAAGAGCTCTGCCTGCACTCATCCGTAAGGGAATCCCTGCCCACCAGAGCCTAAATGCAGTCAATTAAAAATACTCAATAACCTGTCCAGTATTTATTGGACATTTTGGAAACCATGCATTTCTCTGAGGCTCCTCCTCAAACAGCAAATAGATACCACTGACAAGATTAAACAGATTTTGGAAACTATCACAGAATTGTGAAGGAATGGCATGCAAATACCCTTTAAAAAAAGTCACCAGTTCCTCAATCTCTTTCAGCCTCAGCAAAAGGCATCTAAATGGCACTAGTTCACACAAGGATTCTGGAACATGACCAAAGGATTCCAGGGTGACATAAGAAATGTTAAATTAGACAAGGAAAAAAGCAATGAGTAGGAGTCCTTCCTGCCCCACCCCTCACCGAACTGAAGAGTTTACGGTATAGCTTAATTCCGTAACAAAAGGGCTGGCAACTCCCAGCCTGGGTGCCAAGGGTGCCCTGCACAGCTTCTGCCCCGAGAGCAACTCCGAGCGCTGCGTTATTGCCAACTTCATCACCGCAGCAGGGGCCAGGAGTTAGTGTCTCACACGGAGACACAATACCGCCAGCAAGATGATCAGAAAGTCTCTGAAACAAGATGCTATCAGTTCCCACCATGTTTCCCAAATTAAAGCATAAATGTTCTGGTAGAAAGAAAGACAATCTGGCGCTCCACGCCTGACACGCTGCAGACCTTGGACACCGCGTATGCGCACGCAAGCATTAGCTCATCTCTAGTCTGCAAAGAAAAGGAGAAAAAATGGTGCTATTTTTTCATTCACACCTTCCCTCTGAGATCTAACTCTCATGGCCGCATTTCCACACTCTGCCAAATGGCAATATCAGTATTTCCCGGCTCCCACTGAGATCGTGCACATTTTATGGCATTCCGAAGGCGCTGTTCAGTAGCGTAAAGTTTTCAGTGTAAACAGTCTCAGTGCACACACCCCCCAGCCAAGCCTCTTCCCAAGCAACCTGCTCCGACCCGAGAGATGTCACCACAAGGAAATCAAGTCAGAAATGCCAGTGTAACCACCACGTACTAAACAGGCTGTGCAGGGCAGGACAGGACAGGAATGCTATTTTAAATGCAGGGGAAAAACAGAGGAACTTTTACCACCCATCTTGCACCCTGCTCAGAAGTCACCTAACAAAGAAATGCTAATGCTGGTTTGTCCTCGAGAAGCTGCTCTCACAGCCCTTTTCAGTCCATGCAACTTTTGCTTCAAAGTTACACGTCAATGTTGACCATGCTCTTAAAATTTGACTTTGTTCACAAACAGATGAGATAAAGCAAAACCCCTCGCTCTTCCCTGCTTCCCCCTTCCAGTGCTCATCTCTGACCATTATTCTGAACCTGCCAATGGAGGCAGCCTGAAGCTTTTAATTAGGATCGCAACTGCACAAGCTGAAGTCTCTATGCTATTTAACTCACATACCATATGCATGCTTACACAGCCGAGACTGAAAAACTGACTGCTGGAAGCACCGAGAACATCTACTCTAGCTGAATGATGACAGCTGGCATGACCAGGGTAAAAATCTCCCCAAAAGATCTCTCTATAAGCACCAATAAATGACAGTGGAGCTGCATAATGTTCCTGGAAGAAAAGGCAAAAGTGAAAGTTAAATGTTGCACTAGCTACAAATCACATTAAATGCAAATGGGAGAACTGCGCTGTTTTCTGTCTGAATACCAGAATCTCGTGAATGAACAGATCTTTGTGTTCAGAGAAATCACAGTTTTCTCTCTTGGGACTTCTCCAGATGTTGCTTCAGAGACTCTTGATTCATGCGTTTGGGAAGAATTACGCATGAAAAAATCACCTTTTGTTTAGGCAAGAAGCGTGCACGCCAATGCACCATATTAGAGAAATCCAAAAGCTAAAAAATTCCAATCCAATTTTCTCCCCTTCCCTTCAACAGTGTTTGGTGTTCAAGCAGCATAAAACCTTTTTTTTTTTTTTGCTTGGAAGTTCAGAAGATCGCAGATCTTAGATCTTTGTCTTGCTTCTTAACAGTCCACCTGCTCACCAGCTGTGCTCCAAGACTGAAATTAGCAAATCAAACTGGCAGATGTGTTATATTTCACTCTATATAACATGTGACAGAGAACAGAAGCAGCCACGGTATTATCAGGCTTTTACTTCCATCCTACTACCAGTAGGATCCTACTACCCCTCCCTTCAGCTCAGTGGAGCTCTCTCAGAAGCAAGGGCTATCAGCTGAGGTCAAATGCAAAACGCTTTTATGGAATGGACAAAGGCCTTTCAGGAAAACAACCCAGAGTTTTGCGAGGCAATGCAAAACACGCAAGATAGCTCATGAGGGAAGACAAGCTATTGAAGGAGACGATAACATCTCTCCTCTGAGCTGTAGCTTATAGAGTTGCTTTGCTTTAAAGCATCATTACGTTTTGTGACGGCAGTTGTCTCTCTTGGATTCAAGAAACCATCGATGACCTGCACGGCACCGTCAATAAGACCTGGGGAAAGACCATTCAGAGGCCACGGAAACATATTTCAGCTGTT